ACCCGCTCCCCTACACGGCGCCGCCCCGCTCAGCGCTGCCGCTGCGGGCGGGCGAGGGGGACTCCTGGAAGGCGTTTCACGTGCAGGATGTAATGGCATAGGTGTGCCGCGTCAGATCACTTTCACCTGGAATCATTGTATGTTTCAAAAGTGGATGACAAGCAATCACTTTTTATACGCCCCCCCGCGCAGTGTCCGCGGGCTCTTGCCGCGTACCCCGAGCGCTCGGTGCGCCCGCACCCGCGGGGTACGTGCAGTGCCGGAGCTGGCAGCCACCGCAGCCTCCTGCGGGTGCTTGGGGCAGTCCAAGTAACAGACCAACTGGTTGAAACTGTGTATTCCTAAAACCATTTTGGGAGCTATAGTGATTTTTTTTTTTTTACTTTTTAATTGCAGGAGATAAAAGGATAAAAAACTTCATGGAGAAACTTCTTGAAGACAGCTCAGGGTCAGGCACGTTAGGGTCTTTAAGTTTTTCTAGAATTCTGAAAAGTTTGAAAGTGAGTTAGAAATACATGACAAACCAGCCAGTTCTGCAAAAGTTTACCTAACGATTTCAGTATTACTGATGTTTCTATATTTATTTTTTTAACAGCTCTCACTACAGAAACTTAAAAATACCTGAGATCTTATCTTCAAAAGAGTTCATGTTTGTTATAATTTTGTTATAAATTTACTGCAAATGCTTATGCATGCATTTATATTATCAAATTCACCATGTGAGATGAAGTAAAAGATTACCGATAGTTTCAACATGCCAAACAATGTAATGTTTAAGCTTGAAAAGCTGGGTGTTTGTGCTCTGGAAACAATGCATGTGGGAAGCAGATGTTTAGCAGTCCTTTTAATTCTTGAAGCGTCAGTAGCAACCTCTGTTAAGCAAGTTCACATTGAGTTTAGGGTTTTCTGTTGTTTCTGTAGACTTTTAGTCAGGCCCCAAGAACAAGTCTCAATTTTAGTTTCCAAACTTGGCATGCCTACATGTAAAATAAAAATTTACTTATTTTTATAGGACAAAGAGTAATTTTTATAGATTGCTTTTATTATGTTTTTTCAATTTTTAAAAATTTCTTTTTGTCGTTATTTCAGTATAGTTTATAGGTGGATTTTATCGATTTCAGAAAATTTGGACTCATGCAAGCTCTCTTTTCTGTAAACACTTCCTTGCTAACAGCTTTTAAAGTTATTGGTACTTTCTATCTGCTGATGAAACTGTTATTTCAAGGCCTGTTTTCATCTTACAGTGGTCGTCACCTCCAGAAGCCATTGAACGCTTTAAATCTCAAGAAATATGGTTTGCTCCACCTCAGTTCTATGAATTGTGTAGGCTGTGCAACTTCTCTTCACTCCGTGAGTTACACAAGTTCAGCTCTGATCGGGCTCTAGAGGGATGTGAACGTTGGATGCCTGTGATGTTAACTGCTTCAGATGGCTACATTCAGCTGTTGCCAGGTAGAAAACAGATGAAGGTTCCTTTAAATATACAGAAGCTTGGGAATTGATACCTACTCAAGCCACATGACATATACCAGTCTGTAACTATAAGGAAAATATTCTTTTAAGTCAAGTTACTGCACACTTTTTCTACTGTTTGGCTTCCTCCTTTGATACAGTTCATAATGGCTACAGTCAGAAACCAGCTACTGAATCAGACAGCAGTTATTTCGGTACTTGCTCGTAATCTCATTGTCTCATATGGTTGCCATTAGTATGTTTGTTTATGAAGAAATTCTATCATTTAAACTTTTTTTTTTTTTTTAATCTGAAGGATTAGAACTCCTATTCAGTCCTTTTCAGTGGCAATTCTCATTTACTTGAGTTATCTATTTGTCTTTCTATGGGCAGTGGATTGAGCACAGCTGCAGTCTCAGTTTTCACAACTGTAGTCACAGGGCAGTGACCTAAAGAGATACACTAATTCATTTTCCTTCTGCCCTTTCTCCTACTTCAGTCTCTCTCGCTTCATAATCATGTACACTTTTGCCTTCTCCTTAAGAAAAGCTGTATCTACTATTTATTAATTTTCAGGGTTTTTTAGTTTGCTTTTCATTATGCTTTCTCCTGTCTTTTTTTGGTCACAATTGACCTCTAGAATTTCTGTACTTGTGGTGTATTAGCATTCTTGCACAAGAGTAACATGCATTTATATGTCAAAACACTGTTTTGTTCAACAAAACAGAACAAGGCTAGCAGTTTCTATTCTCAGTTCTACTGTAGCCTATCTTTATACACTGGAAAAAGTATTTGTTGTCTTTTCCACCTATTATATAAACTCATATCTGACGAGGCTGTGATAAAAGCCCATTAGTATTATCAGGAACACTGGAGCATTTAAATCAACACCTTGAATGTGCACTGCAGTGTCACTGACAGATACTTCAGAAATTTATGGCTGTATCTTTAAATCTGAAGATGTTTAGAGGCAATTTACTTTTGTATTGTGAAATACTTTCCCACTGAGTTTCATGTCCTGATAAATATTAAAAAAAAATGCTAGTTTCACTCAATCAAAAGGCTGAAAAATAAGGTAGGCAATGTATAACTAAAACTTTTTTTTTTTGCCCCCAGGAGATGAGTTATATCCAGAAGATCCAGATTATACAGGAGAAAAGAAAATAATCATGTCAACAGATAAGAAGGTTGAAGATCTCATGAAAGAGGGTAGTGTATTTCACAGGATAGTAATAAAAAACATCAACAATCTTGCTGTCTATGTTAATATTCAAGCAAAATATAAACATAAGAATCCAGTGATGATAAACTCTGAGTGTTCAGATTACAATAGCAGATTATAATATGTTTGGCTTAAAGCTAGAATATTTTAATTATGTACACACTCACTGTGGTTTTGGTCCTTTCTAACCATGGCCAAATTGTCAGGAAAATATTCCTTTGTTCTACCAAAGCGTTTTGTGTGTTTTTTGAGATTTATGTGTACTTAATTCTTTGAATGTTTGAAACAGCACAGTTGTGCCAGTTATGATGTTTAGGGGCTACCGAAAATCGAACATAACCATCAACTTAATTAGTAAATTAAATGTGATTTGATGGTAATTATACTGAGCCATTACCGCCTTATTCTACCTACATACTAATTGCAGAATATGCTGCAACATGGTCATGTTTCTCACTGAAAATTTAAGTATATATAATGTTCAGGACAAGTATGTTTTAAGTTGAATTCTTTTACTATGCTTCCCAAAGTTATCCATTAGACAACTGTAATGTGTGCCTAGGAATGAGTGAAATCTCCCGTTCCATATCTGCTGACATCTCCCAGTCTATTCTCTCTTTCATTTTTGGGAAAACCCGTGTATATGTATATATATAGATTTATTAGCTAAAGCTCACTTAAAAAAAATATTACAAAGTTAATGTTTATATTCAATATACCTAAATTATTTCTACTCATGGTAATCTATTCAAAAGTTTACAATCTTCAAAGGTAGAGATAATTTAGAGAAACTACATCATCTATCAGATTCAGTGCATTTTCAACATTCTTTTTATTAATGATAATTTTTATTCTTCAACTTGTTAGCACTTTGGAGCTAAACAATTTATTTTTTTAAAGAGATACCAACAAATTCAGGGAATAATGTACTACCTTGGAAACACCTGCTTCTATATTTCAACATCCCACATTTTGCTTCTCAACTACTTTACTAAATATTCCTGAGATTTAAGAACTTTAGAGGAAGGATTACTGATTGTTTTTCGGTTTTGGATTTTTGTTTGGTTTTGTCTTTTTTGTGCAATAAGTGGAGTAAATGGAGCAATGATGCAAATTCTTCTTTACCTGGAAGTAGAATGAGCGATGACTTGAGATTAGCCAGCAAAGTAATTTCGGAAGCTTTGTTTCAGCTTTTGTTCTGTATTTCAATTAAAATCTTTTGCATTATTTTCATTAAATTGAATTGGTTTGTAGCATTCATTTGGATTGGAGGGAAAAAATAGTGTGTCTTTCTCTTTTCTCTGAACATGCTCAGACTGTTCTTGGTCTTGCAGTCCTTGTTGAAATTTGTATACCTCTGCTAAACATGGATGATGTGAAGCAGTACATATATTACATACTGGATATTATGCAGTATAGGATCTCCTTCAGAATATTTCAGTTAAATCTTCTGAAGATGAAGCCAACAGGAAAACTAAGAAAATGTAGAGTAGATGAAGCAAAGAAAGTACCTTGTATTGCTGTTGTATGCCATTTCTAGCTTTTTGAGGTTAACACTGGCCACTGTAGTACTAGGAAGACGAGGTAAAGGCATGCTTATGATTCTATTTGTGGTGTCTATAGTAACAGATATCTTCAAAATGATTCAGTTACTTATTCATAATGGGCAAAGTCAGTCATCGGAGCAATTGCTAGGCTGTTTTACAAGTTACAATGAGAATATACATAAATCTAACAAGATACAGAGCCAAGATTCCGTATTTTGAGCTGGCAGACAGTAATGCAGCAAATTAAGGTTATTCTGTCGGCCCAGGAAAGGGAGAGAAACGCTTGCAAATGTATTCCTATTTGATTGGTTTTGTATAGCAACAATGGTAAACTATTCTGTTCGTAAACAGGCTTAAAAAAATACCCTATCTGGGATAATTGGTAATAGAATCATAGAATGGTTTGGGTTGGAAGGGACCTTTTAAAAATCATTTAACACAACACCCCTGACATGGCAGGGACACCTTCCACTAGATGCGGTTACTCAAATCCCCATCCAACCTGACCTTGAACACTTCCAGCGATGGGGTATCGACAACTTCTCTGGGCAACCTGTTGTAGTGTTTCACCATCCTCACTGTAAAAAATTTCTTCCATATATCCCATCTAAATCTACTTCTGTTCAAATCTACTCCAGGGCCTACAGGCCCTGGTAAAAAGTCTCTCTCCATCTTTCTTATAAGCCACCTTTTAGGTACTGAAAGGCTGCAATAAAGTCCCCCTGGAGCCTTTTCCTCTCCAGGCTGAACAACCCGAACTCACTCAGCCTGTCGTCATAGCGGAGGTGCTCCAGCCTTCTGATCATCTTCGTGGCCCTCCTCTGCATCCACTCAAGCAGGTCCATGTCTCTCCTGTGCTGAGGGCCTCAGAGCTGGAGGCAGCACCGCAGGGGGGGCTCCCAAGAGCAGAGCAGAGGGGCAGAATCCCCTCCCTCGCCCTGCTGACTACACTGCTGGGGGTGCAACCCAGGCTGCGGTTGGCTTTCTGGGCTGCAAGTGCACATTGCGAGTTCACATCCAGTTTTTCATCCACGAGTACTCCCAAGTCCTTCTGTGCAGGGCTGCTCTCAATGCGTTTGTTACCCAGTCTGTACTCATACTCATGATCACACCAACCCAGATTGAGGAGCTTGCGCTTGGCCTTGTTTAACTTCACGTGTTTCACGTGGGCCCACCCCTCACACCTGTGAAGGTCATTCCAGATCACATCCTCTCCCTCTAGCGTACCAGCTCAGCTTTTGGCATCATCTGCAAATTTGCTGAGGGTACACTCAATCCTACTGTCTATGTCATTAATGAATATATTAAGCAGTACTGGTCCCAGTATGGACCCTTGAGGGACACCACTCGTTACTGGTTCCATTTGGACATTGAGCCATTGACTGTAACTCTTTGGATATGATGATCCAGCCAAATCCTTATCCATCCATCAAATCCATCTCTATCCACTTTAGAAGCAACAATGCTGTGGGGGACCGTGTTGAAGACCTTAGAGAAGTCCAGGTTGCTCTTCCCTTGCCCACTTATGTACTCACTTCATCCTAGAAGGCCGCTAGATTAGTCAGGCATTATTTGCCCTTGGTGAACCATATGGGCTGTCTCAAATTGCCTTCCCTGTCTTCCATATGCTTCAACATAGCTTCCAGGAGGATCTATTACATGACCTTACCAGGTACAGAGGTGAGGCTGACAGGTCCACAGCTCCCAGGGTCCTCCTTTTTAAAAATGGGTGTGATACTCCCTTTTCTCGTAATTGGGGACTTTGCCTGACTGCCATGACTTTTTCAAATACAATGCAGAGCAGCTTAGACACTACACCTGCCAGTGCCCTCAGCACCCTGAGATGCATCTCATCAGGTCCTATGGACTTGTTTATGTTCAGGTTCCTCAGATGGTTTTGAACTTAGTCTTCTCCTACAACAAAAGGGACTTTATTCCCCCAGTCCCTACCTTGAGGGCCAGGGACTTGAGAGATACGGGAAGAGTGATTGCCAGTGAAAACTGAGGCAAAACCCCCTGTTGAGTACCTCAGCCTCCTCCGTGTGCGCTGTCGCTATATCTCACATCTTATTTATCAGGGGGGTGAGGGTGTGCACGTTTCCTTAAGTCTTTTCTGACCAACATACCTGTAGGAGCCCTTATTATTATTCACATCCCTTGCCAAATTCAGCTCCAGCTGCGCCTTAGCTCCCGTGATCCCATTCCTACACACTCAGGCAGCATCCCTATATTCTTCCCTATGGATACATATTCCTGCTTCCAGTGGCTATGCAATTCTTTCTTGCACTTCAGTTTGACCAGAAGGTCCTTACTCAGCTATGCTGGTCTCCTGCTTTCCTTGCCTGATTTCTTACACAGGGGAATCCAGAGCTTTTGTACTTTAAGAAAAATGTCCTTGAAGAGCTTCCAGCTTTCTTCTGCTCCTTTATCACGAGGGTAGTTTCCCAGGGGCTCCCATTCACCAGTTCCTTAAACAACTGAAAATTCACTCTCCTAAAATTCAAGGTCTTCACTTTACTCTTCATCTGGCCCATATTCCTCAAGATCAAGAATTCAAATATACAAAACAATATATATATTTTTTATATATATATAGTGTGTATATATATATAAAACAATATATATATACAAAATAAATATGTAATCTACAACTGCTTTGATTTTGCAATATAGTCTTGCATAGTTTGATGGAGAGCTTCCCTGATGATTTTTTTATTGTTCTGTACCTTATGGTTGTTTTATCAGTTTACTTTTGTAGTAGAAAGTAGCTATTAGGAGAAAATATTTTTAGGAAAGAAATTATTTGGCAACCTAGATACAGGTTAGATTCTTACAGAATTTTTACACCTGTGTGTTGCTGTGCATTATGCATTTAATTCTAATATAAGTTTTGCTGTCAATACCCAATCCATTATCTTAAGTGAACAGTCTGCCTCTCCATCTTTGTCTCCTGCAACTTTTTTCTATCCACAAAAGCAAAATGGTCCAGCAGGGGGAGCTTAAAGGCCAAAGGACAAAAAATGTAACAAAAATATACTATTTCACATAGAAAGTGATGACAATCGTTAAATGCAAGCACAAATGTCTTAGAATACACATACGGTAAATGCCTTTTAAATTAAAAATTTTGATGATTAAAGCTGTAGTTTCAAAATATTGAACTACTCTAAGTACAGGCTTCTGCCCAAAGAGGTGGCCTTTGTTTCTCAGCTACAAGTCTCATCCTCTTGTCTTGCGGCTGGCACCTTGTCTACCCAGCCTGGCACAAAACTCTATCAGGCCTGAAACAATTTTATTTATTTATTTTTTTTTAACATTAAATGGAAAGGGTAGTATGCAACAGAGGGAATTAGAAAAAAAAGTAGCTGCTTGATATGCAAGAGTGAAATAACGCTTTAAGGCCTAAATGCTATGGGACATTTACAACAGCTGTTTTTTGTTCTGGACACGTACCTATTTCAGTAGCATAGCTGAACTCCAACAGAGAACCGCCAAGCGCCTTTCCTCCCCACCTACCTAATTCTATACACCTTTCAAGAACGTGCTCCACTCCAGACTTCGCAGCCTCACAGAA